GGTGGGGCCTTATGTGTGGTTCGCTGCTCCAAGTTCCGGGGCTTAGGTTACCGCTTGTCATCACTGAACAGCAGGTCTTCGTGACTATGGGGTTCCATCCAGTCTACTATTCATCACGCACCCGTCTGTAAGAAAAAAAAGTTGGCAAATACCAACCGCGTCTTCTACATGCGTGTGGATACTTCAGCCATGTTGCGTCCATCGGGTGAGATGTAGCTGGCCAAGTAACTATAATTGTCCACTGGCTCTCTTACTTCCCCAGTTAGAGTAAGGCTGGGTGCCGGGCCAACCCAACGAAACGCATACCGCACAATCCTACTCGGGCACCCCAACTATCCAAAAAAGCTTCTGCTTTACTTGCTTCTTCAATTACTCCAGATCAAACAGTCTGCCACTTGGAAGTAAATGGACGCCGCTATCCTTGCACTAGGATAGAGCTGTCTCCATAATCAAATCTATAAATAGAAAGGGAGAGAGCGGACAACCCTGAAGAACACCCATCTCGGTGATGAACTCGGGCGAAGAAGTGTCGTAAGCTCGAACTCAACCTCGGCTATTAGTATAAAGGGATTGTAATGTTGAAATAAACTTCTCGGGCACACCCTTCAGGGAAAGGCAGCATCAGAATATAGAGTGGTCAACTGAGTCTAAAGCCGCTTCCAGGTCGAGGTGGACAGAGATGGGTCTACGAAGAGAATGTCGGTGCTCCAGAATTTGGCGCAAAGTGAAGATGTGGTCGGCACAACCTCGACCAGTTCTAAAGGCTGCCTGATTCTCACGCGTGCACCGTTCACGTGCGGCAGGTAATCGGCTGAGTATGATCCCAGTAAGAAGTATAGAGACAATTTGGATTAAAATAATTCATCTATGGTTTTCACAAGAGGCTGTCACCTTTCTCGTAAATCGGCTAGATGACCGATTTCCACCATTCGGCTGGAACCAGTTCCCTTTCCCATATTGCGCCCAGGAGTTTTGTTAATTCTAAGCCTGAGGCTGAACCTTCATCCTTAAACGTCGTTGGAAGCAGTACCTGGGCCGGAGGCTTCATGCCTTTTGAGACAACTTATTTCCCGGGAAACCTTCACTTAATATAGAGGATTGGCATCAACTGGGAGTATTTGCCTATTAGAGGAGGGGGGGGGGCGGCTGATAGGTCAGATGTCGATTGCGGCCCGTTNCCTGGGCCGGAGGCTTCATGCCTTTTGAGACAACTTATTTCCCGGGAAACCTTCAACAACTGGGAGTAGTTGCCCAGTCGAGGTGAGATGGGATAGGTCTGATGTCGATGCGCGCCAGTTGAACTTAACCTCAAAATGCCCAGCCCATCGATCAAGACAGCGTTGCTGATAACAAATCTCTGTGTCATCGGATTCCGTAATTAATTTGCTTATGCCTCTTTCCTTGGGGCCCGTATACCTAATTATACGAAAGAGGTTGCAGCTATTACCGATAATCGCAGCTTGCTTTATCTCACTACACTTTTCTACCAACCACTTCTCCGATTCTTGATTAACTGGCTTTTAAGAGATTTAAGCGTTGTGTAACATATAACGTTAGAAGGAGGGACCGTGCTGGCGTCAAGCAGGCCAACCTTATTCGACCGGATCTATGTTTTCCCCTTTGAGCCTGCGTTGGAGTCCGCTGTTGTTGTTATCGATGTTTTTGTGGATTCCTTTATTTGCATCCACTGTTCAGTGAGTCCTTCTGCGGGTGGTTGAATTGATAGACAATCATAGAGCGCCCCTTCAAAGGCCGGTCTGCAACTGACGCTGACATTTGATCGTGTGTATCCATTGCCGATGGCTTTATTACGCTTGTTTGCCAAGCGTAGGGAAAATTTGGCTCGTAACAAAGCGTGGTTCTTATCCACGGGTGTTGACCGGTGTGAACGGCAGTCATGAATCGACTCCCTCCAGCGTTAGCTGGTTTCGATGTGGTTGATTTGGGTTCAGCGCTTGGAAGAGACTGGCGGTTTCCCTGTAAGGCGGTATCGTTTTTTGTGCGAGAAACAGGAACAATCCGTGTTCCGCTCACAGTTGAATTGTCCGTTGACTGGGATTACATGTGGTCCACCAAGAAGGCTTTCTGATTCGTCTAGATATCCCACTTGAGCACTGAAGTCTCAGATGACTAATATAACGTCCGTTGATCGAACACTTCGGAGCAATCGGGAAAGATTATTGTGGAATTCGTCCTTGATTTCAGGTGCACCGCAATAGGTCGGTACATGCACCGATGTGACGAATAAGCATCGGTGCTTTGTTCTATAGCTGTTGATCTGTATTGAACCGTTGAGGCGTACAGCACAAAGTCGGCGACTGACTGGAATCCTGTCAAGAAGCGAGCACTCAGGCTTTGCCTTTAGCGCAATCCTAACACCGCAAACATCGGATGCCGAATCTCTTGACACACGAAGGGTAAAGCGTGGGACTGATGTTGGGCCAGGAGAGCGTAAGATGAATAAACTAAGGTCTTGTGTGCGTGTTTTGGTGACAGTATACGTCTAAATTGAATGTTTCAATTATTCTAGATAAGGCGACTTGTTGACCGATCGAGTGTGCAAAACTTTGAACTCGCCGAAAAGTAAAGGGAATTTTGGCTTCGAAAATCCTCTAACTTCTGGTTGTTATGCTTTAATGGTGGAACGCTGAGTGATATCTAGTGATTGGTGTAAGCAGGAGACGCCTGGGATCATTTGGGATTGAGAGGACGAACTCGACAGATAGGAAATAGGTTTCTCCAAATGGATGTTTAAAAATTTAGGGCGCAACGTACTTTGCGGTAGCCCACACCGATGGAGGGGTTTTTCTTTGAGAACGCTATCCGGAGCCTTTGGCTCAAAAGTCTGACCCGCAAGGTAGCGGGGTGTAGATCCAACGCGGGTGCTTCACTGAAGCACCCATACGAGAAGTTCTAAAGATGTGTCACGCAAGGCCTTCGTGTTTCGGTTCAGTGTATTTCTCGATCGTGCGTTGCTTGTCGGTCCACTGCTCGGGTTTGGCCCTTAGTCTCATGTACCCAATGAAACAAGCAAAATGTAGACGGGACAACACCTTATTGGCCGGTGGCTACCCATCTTGTGTAGGCTGTGGTTGTCCAATGAAGTGCGAAGACTTCTCCCACCGTCAAGAGGAAGCCCCAGATAGCCCGCTCCTATGTCCACCTAGCTTGGGTGTTTTGACCGGAATCCTAATGAACGCAATAACTGGTCTCCAAAATGTTGATATTGAATGGGCAGCTGGCGAAAAATTCTGCGATTTGGAGTACGCTGAATTCGCTGTTTGTCTGTCCGAATATACGGAGGACGTGCAAATTGTGCTTGACAGAATGACGAGTCATACAGCTTCGTTGGTATGCACTTTGCGCCTTCGAAGGTAAAGTCGTACTACAGGACTGGATGTCGACTTATCCTATCCTGAAACTAGATGGTCAGCTGACATTGACTGCTCCACGGACCGTTACGTGACCAACGATGGTAGCGTACTTAAGGCGATAATTGCTCGCATTTGCAAGGTTCGAGCAGAACACAGGACTCAAACACCTTTGGTGACTCCGTAAAGTTTGAACGACGTTGAAAATTCGCACTTACTGCGCCATCGTTCGGTCAGTTCTGCTTTACGGTTGTGAAAATTTCAATTTACATGTAGAATAAATTGCCTGGTTTTCGACTATCGGTGCTTACGTGGTCTGGCCCAGGTTAGTGGTGATCCAGTCTGGGCGTATGATTGACAAGAGCGTCTCTTGCTTAAACCCCAACAACAACGCGGAGAGAGAACACGATCCGAAACAATATTCAGTTTGTATTCCATGATTAAGGTTCGATGCGCAAATACATAGAGTAAATCAGGCTTACGAGGACGGCACAGATTGTCCTTGACACATTCGATTGGTCGATCGAACAGATGCTGGGTGACTCGTTCTGCAGTTATCCAATCCAAATTCAACTTGCCTAGTGCTTCGCGAGCGTGCTTATGGCGTGACGCTGATGCGTGCGCGACCTGACGGGTTCTTTGACCTCCGTACTGATATTAGTAACTCAGATGTTGATCGTCGTGTGTTTGGTACTGTATCGAGGATATATATATATATATTCCGACCGGTCATCAATTGGAGAGGTATCTTTCAGAATATTGTTTTCGGAGAATCATCAACGGGAAAAATATCTCTCCAGTTGGTTGAACCCAGTGTTCAGGTTGAATTTGTTATACATGTTCGATTATTTGTCTACCTGCATCCCACCTTCCCGATTGATCTTCGTTTCTCGTCACGGAGCCGTGACCTCCCCTGTTTGATTAATCCGTCCATGCTTGTGATCCTCAATTACTTCGGAAATTTGGGAACGCCACGAATTTAGGTGTATATGTATTTTAATGTATTGGTACGTTTGTTTGTGATAGTAACGCTTTGATTAGATAACTCAGACTTGTTGAATCCGTCTTCTGAGGCTTGCGCGTAGCTCATATTGGCTCGGGATACCGACGTATCTAACAGTTCGCACAGACTGCTTGTGTCCCCACCCCCGAGAGGAGGGGGAATTGGAGGCGGATTCCACTCAACTGAACTATTGATCGAATTGGCATCTTCGGATAACGATCGTCTGAGCATATAGAAAAGACTGTGTGATCAGTCGGAATCAGATCCTTGTTAATTGCCGTGGCACTGATACTTTCCAGTCCCTGATTCAATCAGCTAGAATGGTGCTCCTTAATGCGATTAAATAGACTCCTCACTCTTCGACATGTGGCTTGCTCCACATGAGAAAGCATCGTAAGCCTTTGGCTGTGATAGTGTAAACATCGGAGCAGATACAGTTCTAGAGCAAAGGTCATTTTCGAGTCTGCTGTTTGTTGAAAAACCTAACGTGTGCAACACAATCAAGTATAGTTTATATTTTTGAATAAGGGTTGTCTTTTTAACAAAGGGGAGCGGGTGCACATGGTGTAGGAGGGGAAGGAGTTTCCAGATGGTCGTCCCTGTTGGTAAACCATGGCTGATAACTGACAGTCCCCCTGGGTAAACATGTATGTGCGTTTGGTATTCCAGGTTAGTTTCTGATGAAAAATTAATTTTACCAAAGAGAACCGGCAGAGAGCTGATGGTGGGGATGGGGAAGGAGGGGCAGAGAAAGTTCGCGCGTTACGTAATTCATGATTTATTCAAACTGTTCAATGAATATCCTAGACAAAGGAGGTAGAAGAAAGAAAGCAGTGTGAGATATGTACAGTGAGCCGGAGGTGGAAGGGGGCTGAACGAAACTGAAGCGCAAGTTGTCCGAGAACAAAATGAAACAAACAAGAAAGACGAGGAAAGTTTGTTTACGGTCTCCCCCGAAAGAAAACCTGCATTAGACTGTATACATCTATGTATATTTTGTCCCACAACTTTTGTTTTTCTTAAGATCAAATAAATAGCTGATGGTGGTGGAGATTTATCGTCAGAATTGAATTTCATTCTTCGGACACGTAGCTTGTTTGATTTGCAAAAAGCGATTGTGACTAGGTGTGTTTTTGTGTGCGTTTGAGTGTAGCGCTGATGCCGACACCGGGGTTGACACGAATTTCTCTAATCCCACTTCTACATTCTACTCTGATCTAGCCGAACCAATTGGTCACGATCACATAACTGCGGTGGTCTCCGGGACGGCGTGTACCCTGCCAGCCCATTGTTCCCAGCGTTGTAAACGCAGTCGATCGTCGTTCGCATCCCAACCAAAGGCTACGTTCTCTTTTGGTCCGTCCAGGTGTTCCATTTCCGTCTCGGAAGGTGTGCTAGTAGCGGGCCGATAAGCTCGTTCTGCATTGGCGAAATAGTCCTCAAAGTAGGCACATAAAAAAGCGAATGTGGGTCTGTTGTCCGGAATGGCGTCCCACGTGTGAAGCATCACTTCGTAGATTGAAACAGGACAATTAGCGGGTCGGGGCATACGATAGCCACTGTCCACCTGTTGCAGTGTCTCCGTATTGTTCATGGAGGGGAATGGGACTTGACCGTGCGTGATGATCTCGTAAATGACTATCCCAAAGGACCAGACGTCTGATTTCACGGTGAATCGTCCGAGTAAAGCAGCCTCCGGTGCAGTCCATTTAATGGGAAACTGAGCACCCTGAAATACGAGAAAAATGGACCAGTGCACAATCAAGGGATTGAGAAATCGGAGAAACGAATAATGTGGGATAGGATAGAATTAGCTTAACCAGAGGCTGCACGATATCTGGTGCGTAGATATTTGGATCACTCACTGACTGTTGCATTTATATAGACCCTAAACTGCAGCTTTGTAGCAGACTAACCAAATCACAACCACCACCTTATTTCTCCACCTCTTTGTCTTAACCAACACTTAGATTGATCGCCTTCTCTCACCTGATAATTAAATTGCACGCTTTAATAGTAGATAAATAATTATCCATTATTGTGCAATTTATTTTCATTTCTGTCCGAGTGGGATGAATAAAGTGCAAAATGCAAATCATGTTGGTGAGAAGCGAATGTGTCCTCCGGTAGCCGTTTTGATCACATTAGAATTTGAATAGAATAATTTGTCCGTAATCGTATTTGAAGTTTACCTGATGGTTGTCAATAAAAGGCGAACCACCCTCATGCGGTGTTGTATGCAACTGTTCGACATGAACTTTGGAAATAGGCGTGATGAACGCCAAAAATTGCATTCACAGTCATCGGACAACGGTTAACACGGACCAGTACCCTATGTTCCAGTTATCAGTGGAAAAATGAAGCGCATCCGGAGAGTTGCGGCCCCGGGCCCTCTCCGCATGGACCACCGGTTTTTATTTTCCAGTGGCAACATTTAACACAGCTTGAGATGGGCAGCAACGTGTGGCTTCTCTTTAACACAAGCTGACTCTGTTGAAGTAAGTTACCGTTACAGTGTGGTTCAATACAAAACGGCAGGCTTTCTTTGGATCATGTCTGTTATTGATTCAGATCACACACTAATTTCACTCGTCTTCAAAATTCACAACTTTGGTTATTGTCTGACTCATACCTGCTGGTTCTCACTATGAAAAAAACCTAAGACACAATTTCGAAGCTTTACAACATGGCCATGTGGATGAGCAATGAGGCTGCAGTGGGTATGCAATTGTCAATCCAGGGTTGAAGCCCGGGCAAGGTTTTGGACCTCAGAACTCTGGGATCCC